TAGAAGATGTAGGTCCCCTGTTCATTGGGATGATGTCGGGAAGAAGAGAGTTTTGGGACCAGAAATAATTGAAAGGACAGTTGAGGCAATCGATAAGATCCGTGCAAGGATAAAGGTAGCACAGGATCGACAGAAGAGCTATGCGGATACAAGGAGGAAGGATTTAGAATTCAAAGTTGGAGAAAAAGTGTTTCTGAAAATGGCACCGATGAAAGGTGTACTTAGGTTTGGCAAGAAAGGAAAGCTACGACCCCGCTATATCGGACCATTCGAGATACTTGATAGGGTCGGAAATGTAGCCTATCGGTTAGCTCTCCCACCTGGGTTATCGACAGTGCACAACGTGTTCCATGTATCAATGATCAAGAAATACGTGCATGATCCTAATCATATAGTGAACTATCAGTCCGTGGAAGTACAAAAGGACTTATCCTATGAAGAGGTACCAATTAGGATATTGGATCGAAAGGTGCATAAACTAAGGAACAAAGAAATTCAATTGGTCAAAATACAATGAAATAATCATGAAATAGAAGAGGCCACTTGGGAAGGGGAAGAGGAAGCAAAAAACTAGTATCCAACACTATTCGCCCAATCAGAAGGTAAATTTCGAGGTCGAAATTTTAATTAAGGTATGGGGGATGTAGAACCCCAAATAATTTTAAACACTTTAGTGGCACTAAGACATGAATATCGGATGGCTAAAGTATACTTCAGATTTTTAGTCTCATTTGAGACCCATTTACGACATAGAAAACATTCGATTTGAAAAATGATATTTAAAGAAAAGTTATAACTCTTTGAGTTATATTTCTAAAGCACTTTGAATTACCTCAATCGGATATCGGGAGAAGAAGTTATGATAGAAATACTAAAGGCTGTACAGTATCAACCGAAGTACGCGGAATATGAAAAGTCAAATTCCTACACGATTTTCTAGCACCTTCTTAAACCTATAACTCCCACATAAATGGCATCCGTATTAATGAGTATTAGCCCCCTCACTTGCCCTTAAGTTGTGAGATTTTCACTTATAAATAGGCCCCAATACATACACATTTTTCACACCAAGACAAAACCTTCTAAACATAAAAGAGAGAGTTTTCAAATTTAGAAAAAAGAGAAAGGAGAGGGAGAAAAATTAGTTTTTCCTAAAAGTTTTGGTGCTATCAAAAAGTGTTTTCCAAGCATCAATTCTCAACGGAGTGTTTTTTTTTTTGAAACATCAAAGGAGTATATTTTTCAACAAGGTTCAAAGCATCAATTAAGGTAGGTAGAGGTCCAAAGTGTTAATTCATGTTAAGTTATAAGTTTCTAGCAAATGAATATTTATGTTAATGTTTGTATGTCTAATGGTACCTCCGGTACGGCATGTACTTACGGTTGAGGCGTCGTGTTAAGTCATGACTCTATGTGTTTGGGATTCTACCGAAAATCCTACTATGAAAATGTTTCTAAAGTTACAGTTTTGAAATGTATAGCTTGATCACGAATGCACCAATGATATTTATTGAGTTTTTTTAACTCACGGGTTTAACCTCTTCTCTACAGGTTGATATGATTCTACCTTGGGCTTGGATGATGGAAAAGATGGAGAGTGGTGCAACGAACCCATAGAAAACCCGATGAACAAGTTATTTAGATTTATTTTTGTGAACGTTTTCAATATTATTTTTTAAAGTATTTGAATAACGCCGAACGCGAGAACAAGCTGTGTTTTCTTCAAATAAATTACGTTCCGTATTTTTTTATTCAGTATTTTATTTAAAGTATTCGAAATGTTGTTAAAATTATCATTGTAAAAATTAAGTTTCCGCTAAAATATATTCTCCTATGACTAAACCACCGGTTAGATAAGTAAAATAAGTAGCGTTCCGGTCCATAAGGGGTCGGGACGTTACAGAACCAGTGCAAGAAACCTTCGAATCTACCAACACCGGCACCAAGAACCTTCGTCACGAGCTCTGATACCACTGTTACGAGAAGTTCAAGAAAATCAGCCCATTTCAATCAACAAAAATTACGAAATAATAAACTGTAAAAATCTGAAATGAAAGAAAATGCAGAAAACACGAGAACACGGTATTTTCGCCCTAAGGTAAGAGGTTCGAAACTTCGTTCCTAATCCCCTTTTGTACTTCCACCACCGGAAGAATTTATTGCATTAACCAAAATCATGAACCGTCCAAAGAGTTACAAATCTGAGCCCCAGCCAAGAATCACTCAAGATTTCGACAGCCCTCAAGCCACTCACAATATTTGCCACAACAGTTCACTCAAGAACAATAGTTCACTCAAGAACAAAATATGAAATCAACCCGTACACAAATCACCCAAGATAAGTACTACACGATTTCAGAAAGTAGAATCAACATCTACAAAAATTCTATACAAATATGTGAGGTAAAACTATGGCACTCAGATTATTAAAGAAAAAGATGAAGAATTTCTTCAGACGAGAGTGAGAAGTCGAGAGACGAAGAGAAAAAAATGAGAATCTACCAAAACAGGAGCCAAAGACCCGTATATAATAAGTCTCTAGAAAGTCTCCATCCAATGGCTAAGAAGTTGACACTTGTCAAAACTCTGGGCAGCCCATTTAAATAAGAGAAAAGCATGTTTCGACAGCTTCAGTTTTCTTTCAATATGGTTTCTTTCATCTAATGTAAAAACTAGCCAAATTCAATGGTCAGCTGGTCAACCTTCCACATCATTGTGCCACAAATCCTCACAGTTATGAAAGACGAGTTGAAATGTATAGATTTAAATAAGGTAGATCTCATTAAATTACCTGAAGGATTTAAAAGAGTTGGGTATAATAATGTTGCGTACCTTTGTCACAAGTAACATTTCCCTGAAACTTCTCCTTTAAATTGTTTAACCTGTTGTGGTGGTAACGAGGAGAAAAGTAACAGTACACTATAACAATTGACGGAATTTTAAGTATAGTCAAAATAAATAACCATTGAAGGACAAAATAAAATTTCCTCGAAGCTTTTCCTTTAAATTGTATAACATGTTGCGGTTGTGGCATGAAGAAAAGTAAACATACGCTGTAACAATTGATGGAATTTTAAACATAGTCAAAATAAATAACAATTGAAGGGCTAACTAAAATTTCCTTGAAGCTTCTCCTTCGAATTGTTTAACATCTCGCGGTGGTTGCATGGAGAAAAGTGAGCATACACTATACCAATTGTTGGAATTTTAAACATAGCCAAAATAAATAACAATTGAAGGGCAAAAAAACATTTCCTTGAAGCTTCTTCTTTAAGTTGTTTAACATGTTGCGGTGGTGGCGTGAAGAAAAGTAAGCATACATATAACAATTGATGAAATTTTAAACACAGTCAAACTAACAACAATTGACGGGCAAAATAGTGGCCCCTATAGTGCACATAAAGCCAACTCTAATGGTGCTCTTTATTCCATTATTCTAGTTTGAATGCTGGAGAATCACAACCGTTGATTTTGTCATACCTAATTTCCCACTTGTCGTAGTGCCAAAAAAAGTGAGTCGTAAGCTCTCGTTTATTTATGGGAAATTTTGATTTTTACTTTTAAAAGAATACTACTTAAAAATTATTGCAAAAATGTATAACTCAAATTTCAATTTAGTTTGACTATATATTCTCATATTTTAATTGGGTGCAATGTAATAAAATATGGAGCTATTTTTCACATTTATCTCAGTTAATTTTTTAATTTTCTTCCATTTGTACTGTTTGTTTATGTTTGCTTCTTTTAACCACAAATATTTTATATCTCTATTTCTCATTTTTATTACTCTTATATAATTTAAGATGTAACGTCTTTCCTACTTATTAAATATCGTTTAGTCTTTATAAAATCATTCTCGATCTCTTAGCCGACGTTATTGAATTGATGACATACTCACACACGCACGCACACACATATATTATTCTCAGCATTTCTCTTTCTTTTTGCACCGTCTTCGTGCATACGTAGAACTCCTAAAGCTATATTTTATAAATTGGTTTCTTATAATAAACTATCTTCTAGTTTTGCTTCAATCGTGTTAAGGTACTAGCTTAACATAACTATCCATAATTTTCTCTATAAATAAATAGAAAAAGGTTAATTTCATCCGTGTTAAGGTGCTAGCTTAACATAACTATCCATAATTTTCTCTATAAATAAATAGAAAAAGGTTAATTTCATCAATAATTACTGAACTTACAAAATACCACTCAAACTACTATATTAGCGTAGAATTTGTCTAGTGGTACATAATGAGGTGTACCGAATAATGTACACCCCACTCACATGGGTGTGGAGCGTAGAATTTGTCTAGTGGTACATAATAAGGTGTACCGAATGATGTACACCCCACTCACATGTGTGTGGGACCCATATGAAAGAAATGATATTTTATTCAAGTGGGTCTCTCGTCCATGTGAGTAGGGTGTACACCATTAGGTACACCTCGATGTACCACTAACAAAATCGATTAATGTAAGGTCTATTTTTTGGGGAATATATATATATATGACCTCCTTTCAATCAAAGTGGTTTTGGTTCCAAAATCTTGAAAATAGACATTTCATAGGTTCCAACCTATTTAAATACGAAGAATTTGGATCCTTACGTGATGAAACCATCAATTTGAATGTTAAAATCACGGGCAATGTCACGATAAATGTATAGTTCTGGTCTTCATGATAAATATTTGTCATTTTTACTCTCCTCCACGTTGAATATTTTTGTCACACGAAGAGTCAGAATTACACTAGATGAAATGTTAAAAAGTCCCATCCTTATTTTCCATGTTTTAATAAAAAAAAATGTTTTGTTTCTGTGCGCCAATCCATCAAATCGTAAATCCAAGGGAGATTTTTTTGTTAAAATTAGCAAATAAGCATTTATAGAAAACAATTTTAGCCATGCATAATTTTGGTCCGGTCCCCTTTAGCAGCCAAACAAGATATTTGATTTTAAAATAGATTTCAATTTGCGCTTTGCCAGATTGGAAAATTTTATGCCTCACTTCAATCCCATACAACGAAGGTGATCTGTATAAAAGCAAAAAACTCACGGCACACACCCCTAGAGAACACACGCCCACTCCATCTCTTCTCTTCGCCATTTCTCCATCGTCACCTAACAAATCCTTATCTCAATCATTATTGTTTGAATGTGATTACAATTCCCAATCACAGTTATGTATGTAACCACCGCACTTCTCAGGAGAACCGCCTCCAATTCTTCCAATACTAGTACCACTGGCAAAAGGCTCCTTTCTTCTCTATCCAAAAAACCCGTTTCTAATTCTGCTTCTAGTTCGATTTCTGGTAATTTCAATCAAACCCCTCAACGATCTTTGAGTTTTTATTCGGCTTTGAGGTCTGCGCAGCGGTGGAGTCACGGTGTGGATTGGAAGTCACCGGCGAGTCTCGGAGCTCAGATCAGGATTGCTTCTTCTACTGCTTCCCTTTTCCAGCGAAACATTGCTACGATGGGTACATTTAATGTTTTCCACTTCTTTGATTATTCAGATCAGCTGCTTTTGTGTTTCTGATGATTCAATTACTGCTGTCCTTTATTCTTGATTTGAAACTGATATATGGAATATTAGTTTTTCTGTTAGTGTGTGTTTTGCATATGTTTATCTTTTATGCTCTCGTGACAGCTGATTGTAGGCGTCTCTTATATAAATTGTTTTAATGTTGACCATTTTTAAAAAAGTTTTGCATGATGCAATTTCTTATTTTGAAAAAAAATAAATAAATAAATATATATATATATATATATATATTCGGAAACTTGGGGTATATCCTTGTAGTATAAAATGAATTAGAAATTGCAAGTAAATTGTTATTCCAGCAAGCATTTTTGGTCCAAAGATCCTGTTACTTTTTTGGTATGGGAACTGATCATATTTACATGGAAAAATGGTCAGAAGAGCTTTCATTTTAATTTTTTTTAGCTATCTATTTGTCATTATATAATTGCATTTCTAATTATTTTCATGCATGATTCCAGCATCTGAAAATGCTTTCAACAGAATTCTTACCAGTCTTCCCAAGCCAAGCGGTGGTGAATTTGGCAAGTTTTATTGCCTGCCTGCTCTCAATGATCCGAGGATTGGTAATTTTCTGGTTCAGGAAGAATAGTATTTTCACATTTAAACGTGTTTTTGAAAGCTGAAATTCAACATTTCCATTAGGCAGTAGAAATAACAGCTATTTGTGCTGTAATTGTTCCGTCTTTTAAATTATTGAATGCTTTTCTTGTAATTGCACTTAACATTACAGATAAGCTGCCATATTCTATTAGAATCCTTCTGGAGTCAGCAATTCGTAATTGTGATGGCTTTCAAGTGAAAAAGGAAGATGTGGAGAAGATAATTGATTGGGAAAATTCTTCCCCTAAGCAAGTCGAAATTCCTTTCAAGCCTGCTCGTGTCTTATTGCAGGTACCAGTCTTGTTTCAATATGCAGATTTCCATGATAATAAGGAACCAACACTTTTGCATAAGATTGTGATTGTCCGATTTCCAGGACTTCACTGGTGTACCAGCGGTGGTTGACCTTGCTTGTATGCGGGATGCCATGAACAAGCTTGGGAGTGATTCCAATAAGATCAATCCATTGGTATGAACAGCATTTTATTTAATTAATTTTCTATGTTAATAGATGAACATAACCAGATGTCTTGAATTGTTGATTAAGTTTGTGTCTGGATTTGTTTTGTGGAAAATGTTTTTCCCGCTTTTATCATTTTTTATTGTTTTCGCAGAAGTTTTGAAATATTAGCAAGTTGGTAGTTTTGTTCAAATTAAATTGATCCCCCTCCCTCCCCAGGCTATGCGTTTTTAACCTTTCACTTTCAGAAATCTGCTTTCAAGTGTGTAGACAGAAGAGTGTTTTTTAATTTTCTTATTGATTTACATTGATGCTTATGCCTTAAAGCCACCTCAAGACTCGTCTGATGAGTTCAAAACACTCGATAACCTATTTCGCCTTTTTAAAGACAGATGAAACTGGAACTTTCTACTTAGTTTTTTCTGGATCATTGTGTTTTTAGTTTACCAATTTGCTGGATAACATCTTAATGCAGGTGCCCTGCTGTTATCATTAAGAGTTATCTTTCTATTTCTAATTTCAGTAATCGGGTTGTTGGCTTGCAGGTTCCTGTAGATCTGGTCATTGACCACTCAGTTCAAGTCGATGTTGCTGGATCAGAAAATGCTGTCAAAGCAAATATGGAGCTTGAGTTCCAGAGGAACAAGGAGAGATTTGCTTTTCTTAAGTGGGGATCTAATGCTTTTCACAATATGCTTGTTGTTCCTCCAGGATCTGGTATAGTGCATCAGGTATCAAAACTTAAGATTTAACAGTATGTCAGTATCAATGCTGTTCCTACTTTTGTGCGCTTAAGCTGTCTTTATATCACTGACTTATTGTCATTTTCAAGGTGGTATATATTTCAATTTGTTTATGTGCATTCTATATAAGAAAAATCTAGTGGTTTCTTATTTCCTCTTTTGTTTTCCACCCAATGCCAATATTCAAATGATTTAATTGAGTAAATTACTGTGATACTATTTAGGTCAATCTTGAATATCTTGGACGAGTTGTTTTCAACACTGGTGGTATGCTCTACCCAGACAGTGTAGTTGGAACAGATTCCCATACGACCATGATTGATGGGTTAGGAGTTGCTGGTTGGGGAGTTGGAGGAATCGAAGCCGAGGCAGCAATGCTTGGTCAGGTATTTATTTTATGCAGAACAGGG